AAGCCATTGCCCGGTTTTTATTTTTCAGCCACTCTCGCAATATGACGGAACAAGAATTACAACATATATGAGGAGCCCATGATTTATCTTGGTCCCCAACTTTCACACCAAAATAATGTTCATAGGCTGTCTTAACGATAGGTGTCATTTTACGTTTCTGAGCCTTAAATGTTATTTCACCACATATATAGCAAAAGCTATCGACAGAATTCACACACTTTCGTGGCATTTCAGATCAGCACTTAAATTAATTTAAAAATCAACTTCACACGATAATTTCAATAGCAACCACGTGCGTACAATTGACAAACTCACATAGGTTATGTTTACTACTTAAGAACAGCTGATGAGAGGGGTGTTATGTAAACAAACATGTGTACCAACTGTTGGTGATGAAATATTTCATTTGTTGAAAACTCAATATACATATATATAATATTATGATACTATATATAATTTTTATGGTCACTTTCGGTTTTAACACGTGGAAATACATTAAAATCATCTAATTTCAACTCCGAAAAAAAAACTCTGTTGTGTTGTGTAATCGAATTTAGTTCAGATCTCGAAAGGTGATCTCAGCTGCCACAAATCATTGCATGTTTGGTAGAAGTTCCAAAATGAGTTTGGTAGTTCTGATATTTCCAATTTCGAGTGTAAGAAACAATTTCACGATATTGCAGGGCATCAGTGTCATTTCTTTAAAGTGTAGTTTATCTGGCAAGGATTCTTCATTATTGATGTGGAAAGCTGCAGCAAGTTTCTGTGAGAACTCGTTAGTTTTGTGAGTGGACCGACGCCGAACAGAGGTTCTTGGACGATATTTCAATATAATACTTTCAGTCATACTGGGAATCATACGTTGAGAGTTGTAACCTATTTGCTTATTTATGTCCTATCGACGTTGATCCAGTAATGTCTCATATGCATGTTTAATAGTCCACAGGAATGTTTATATCCGAATGGAAACATTCAAGGATATTAGCTTTCTGGTTTATTTCTGCAATATTGCAATATTGTAACTGACTAGTAAAACTTGAAAGTACTTGATGTTGCTTCTTCTATTGCGTGATGAAAATAGTAAAATATTCAACATTACGTATAAATAGGTAGAATTGGAACCTCTGACATAAAATGAATCTCGATACCAGAGCTACAGAACTTTGTCACGATTGTTCGGTCTGGTTCATTCCAACTCCTGAAGATGATATCGTGATTAGCAAAACGCGCATCGATAATTAGTACTCTAGATTCTATGTGTGGAAAAGTATTCTCAATAAAATATCATTCAGAGCAATCGTGAGACAGATGGGAATTTCCCCTAATATTCATTGCTAGACAGGTCATTGCATTATCTGCATTATCGACCTGATGATTGTTCCATTTTTGTCATTGCTATATTATTGCTATCATCATTTCATATGACAGTAAATCATTTTTGATTTTGAATTATATGTTTTTTTTAACTATACTGCAGCATATCCAGTTTTTCGATCTAGTTTTAGGAAATATATTTCCACTAGTACAGTTCATCGTATTATTTAGACAGTGATTATATCCTTTGCGTTCTAGCTCTGAATACAATGAAGAGATATATGCATGAGTTCTGAGGTTATCCAGTTAGGCTTTTCATTGTGATACGTGGTAACTCACAAAAAATTCGCAGACTCTACTTAGATGAATGAACGTTAGAAAAGTGGGAAAAGTTGCGATCACAAGGACTCTTAGTGTAATGATGATCACTTACCTGATGGTCATCAAACTCTTGTATCAATATTTTTTCTATTTTAGAGGCCCTTATGGTTTCTATTCCTTTCAGTGTAGCGGTTATTTGTGAGAAAACTGGAGATTTTGCTACAATTGAAATGATAATATATTACGTGTTGATATAAAACGGAATAGTACTGTATTCCAGTGTTCAACGTATTTATGAATTATGTCCGAAACTCTGAAGGTAATTAGGTAAAAATGATGGTAGAAGGTAAAAATGATGTAGAAATCTCCCACAAAAAGAAAGGTAGTAATCAATTCCAAAATACACTTTCCACAAAGATGTTTAGATTACGCAAAGACACGTGCTGAAAGAAGAAGCCTTTTCGAAACAACTCTGTTTAAAAAAAACTGTATTTTCGTTAACCAGCTGTCGTACCCCTACGAATGACAACCTTCAGAAGTTGAAACTTGTGCGAGCTANTTCCTTTTTCAGGAGAAATTTCACAAACGAGTGAAACGAGGAAAGCAGAATTTTATATGGAGGACTTTTGAAACCAGAGCTGAGTTCGATATGTACATGAAGTCACTGTTATATTGTCTCATGGATTCAAAAATTCTCAATCACTCCTAAACCTTTTCAGCTTCCTACACTTCGGACTCAAATTCACAGCAGAAGTACAAAATAACAACTCACTTTTATTCCTGGATGTTCTCATGCCCTGGTTTATCGAAAAAGAACCCACGCCAATCGCTACCTGAATGCTAAGTCATATCATCCTCCTATTCATCTGAATTCCACTTTGGAATATCTAATACATAGATCTATCAGAACCACCCATAACCACAGTACAAATGGAAGAACTCAAATCTGTCCTTTGCCGAAACGACTATCCTGACTTCTAAATTGAAAGATACATCCATTTTCAGAAAACACACCCCATATTCCAAACTGACTAATGGCATTCTCATATTCATGGAATTATCGACAAAGTGAGCCAAGATCTAAAGTGGCTCGTTTCATTGTATTGACAAGTATTCAATTGTGTAAATGTAGAATTCTGTCCGACACGGCCATCCTCACTAACAATAAGTTGAGCTCTCTGTA